ATCGGGCGCCATCGCCGCGGTAATAGTCGCCCCTCCTCTCCCCTCCAACATCCCTCAACCCCCTCCTACAGACCCGCCCCTTCCCAGGAGGAGGAGGCCGATGCATGAGGAAAAACTCTCCCAGGCACACAACCACAGGAGCTGTGAGCATTCGAACCCACCCTGCCTTTTTGGTACCGGCAACTATTCAGGTGGAGAGGAGGGCAGTACGGAGATCTGTAGGCCGCGCCGGGAAAAGGGAGGGAGGGGTTGGGGGAGTCTCACGTAAACACAATATGTTCCGCTTCGTCCCTTTGACTTGGAACAAGGGCGACCCCCCCCCCCCCTCCCTTTTCCTCACACACACACACACACAGCCAGGGGACAGCCCCGCTAGTTGCAACCACAGGAGACCCGCCCCGCCCTGCCCTGGGTCGCTGAGCATCAATAGGGGTGAGCCGCTCCGCCCCTCCCAACCCGCACCGCTCCGCCCCACCCCTCCCGGTGCACCCCACCAGTGCGTGTGCTGGGCGCTAGGAGAGTCGGTTTGCTGAGCTCTGCGGCCGACACGTGTTTGCTTCCGATATTAGTGTTAATTCTCACTCCCCTATCCTCATCTCCCCCACCCCATCTCTCTCTCTCTCTCTCTCTCTCTCTCTCTCTCTCTCTCTCACACACACACACTCATCCGTTCCTATTTGGCGTACCTTTCTCCTTCTCCACTCCCAGCTCAGCACACTGTGAGAAAAAACAACAGAAAATCAACGGACAACAGCGGCAATTATTTTCCGGACTTGTCCGTACCCTAAATTTAGTTGTACGGTCGAAGCAAAACGGTTGTTCCGGGTTATTCCGTACCTTATTTCTGGGGTGCGGAGCAACCGTATCACGTATTTAACGGAGGTAAGCGGCAATTATTTTCCGGAGGCGTCCGTACCCTACATTTTGTTACATGGTCCAACTCAAACGGTTCTTCCGTACCTCTTTACTGAAGCATGCTATAACGGAAGGTCCGTTAGCAGTCCCGTAGAATCAGATGTTTTTTTACAGTGCACACAACATCCCCTTCATCTGAAAAAGTCCCGATTTATATTAGTCCCCAAACCCTACACCCGCACTATAAAAAATTAAAGGGGCATGAAAGAGTGTTTTTCTGAAATTTGACATTCATTGTGGACATATATAGGGTTCATCCCAAAAGTATGTCCCTGATCTGCCAAGAAACCGACGAGTTTGACCTATGTGAGCTCTCATGACGCCTGATAGGTAGGCAACATCTTGCGTGCATTGCATGCGTGTACTGCGGGCTGGCCTACCCTGAGCTTCGCAGGCGCCGAGGTCCAGTACTTTGCCGAAGAATGAATCTAAGATGAACGGAACTACTTTTATTGGGGCACTATTCATCGTCTTTTCAATAAAATCAATCGATATCTCTTTCTCTCGGCCCTCGGTCAATACCTTATTTCTTCTCGCTACCCACAAGTCGGTGCGGCCGCTGCGCCGTCCTCAGCCTGCCTGCCTGCGGGGACCTGAATGCGTGACCTACCTCACTGCTGATCGTTGTCTGTCCAGTTCCATAGCAGACGAGCCGCCAGCTCGTCGGCATCCCAGATCCGGCGGCCGCAGGGTGTCCACAGATTGAATTCGTCCCCCGTCGTCAGCCCGCGGTGCACACTTTTCCTCGCCCCCTTTAAGTTTACAGTGTACGCCGTGGCGGGTATGCCGCAGGGTCGGCAAATGCCGTGTGTTTGACTGTCCTGCTGGGGCATGGCCGTCGTGGCCCTCCCAGGCGGCCCTCACCACACCACACCC